GCCCAGACGATCATAAGCTTTGCATCGAGATCCTTTCACGCTCTCCTGTTAGAGATCTTATGCTTGGGGCCAGCCCTGTTGCAGGCGAGTGCCCCAGCCTTTGGGCTAACTGATTAAAGCCTGTGGCTGCCCTCTGTGTTTCTCAGGCTCTCAGACTGTGAAAATGTTTTCTCTGTTCCAGAATCATCTTCCCGTGTTTGATTCTTCGGTTTGTTTTAAGTTTGTGTAAGAGGGATGTTTTTCAGGACATCATAGGAAATGCAGCAATGTTCAAAGACTCAGAGGTAAATGTTTAATTTTAGATGGTGTTGGGTACCAAACTGGTAAGCGTTGTGGAAGAGTGAAACTCCACGTAGTGAGCATGTTCTGCATGTATAATCCCTGGCTCCTATCCTTTGTGTTGCCTCTGAGCCATACCACGTTGGCAGTAACATCCTTCCTCCAATATGGCCCATCCTGTAATGTTTGCGCTTTGTACTTTGTTTTCATCTGCTGAGACAGCTGCCTCTTTGGGTTTTGCTCAGCGTTCTCCAACTGTAAAGAACTTCCTAAACAATCTCCAGCAAAGGAAGGGTTGTGGAGTTGTTGTTTTAACTTGCCGTCCCCAAGGAGCATTTCTTGCTGTTGTTTGTTTTTCTTTAACAATCCATTTCAATAGACATTGCTGTTCTGGTTCTGATTTTTAACGCTGCTAAAAGTTGCCCAACAATGCCCGCCCTGTTCTCTGATCATACATTCAGACATTACGCCTATCTTCGGGACAGTCTCTCTCATCTGGTCCCTCCATTAAGAGTAAGTTGAACCACTTTGGTTTGCACTTTGCCGCTCTTATGAATATTGGTGGTCTCTTCCATGTCTGTCTGTGTGTAACGCTTCAATTCTAGAAGTTTTTTCTCCCAAGCACCAACCGATTAGATATTGAAATGTACATTAAGTAAGGAGAGCCAAATATAAATTGTTACAAAAATGTGGGAGAATAATAACATTATTAATATCAGGTGGGAATAGCACATGGTTTGCTGGTTAGGAAACAAAATACTAGGAGGGCAGGAGTCCTGGGAGTTTTCTGTAGCTCTGACTCTGTGGGGAAGGGGAGCTTAGCCTTCGCAGATCTTCCAACATTTGACTTGTGTCCTACCTAAATGGTTTACTCATGGGTGAGATGTGTTCCTTGCTGCTTTGGAGCATGTTTTTCCTGCATGGAAGTACAGGTTGGTTGTAAGTCTTACTACAGCTCAAAAAATGAATAGCCATTGGCGTGGTCTTGGACTTCCCTTGACTTCATGGTGTCACAGTAGATGAGAAAGATGTTTCCCTCAAAGGGATGTTGAAGTTTAACCTGAAGATGTCTAGCTGCAAGTGGATTATAAAATGGAGAGTATTAACTAAGAAAGATAAAAGATGTAGACTTGAAATCCTTGATATAAGTTTTGAATTTGAGAACTAAATCAGAGCTCTCAATTGGTAGTTGTTAAATAATGCGGCAGCATTTTGCAGTGTTGTTACTTGTGTTAGACTTTTCTGTATGCATGTGTTTCTTCTTGCTTAGTTGCCAGGTAGAAAGCTGGTGTCCTCCCCTGTCTCTCCCAGTATTACACCACATGAAGATCCTTCCCAGCAGTTCTTGCATCAGAGCCTGGAGAGAGTTTACAACCTTCAGCACCTTGACCCGCAGGGCATACAGGAGCTGCTGGAATTTACCATCCGGTAAGGTGGCAAGCTGACCTGTTCATGGGAAGATTGGTTAGGATTCCCAGTTTCTCTGAAACAGGTGCTTTGCTTCTGAATATCTGTGTTGTACTTCGCCATCGGGCACTTAGTCTGAGCCTTCTTCTAGAGAGCATTGTGATAAAACGGCATTCATGGCCTGTTTGAAACAAAACTGATGGTCTCAGCTCTGGCTCCACCCCACTGAATAATCAGCTTGTGTTTTGAGGGATTATCTTTTCAGAGCATGGTAAGAGTGAGGTAAGGGTGCTCTTGGACTGTTCTCTTATGGTAAAATACACTTCCAGTTTTTATGGATGACAGCCTTGTGTTCTCTGTCCCTCTATGAGTCCCTCATTTTGATCGTGTTATTTTTAATATATGTGCACAGCGGTTTTTGTTTCGTTTGTGTGGGAAGAGAGAGGTTGTCCCCTTGGCTCTTCCAGTTTCCACATCCTGCGGCCTTCCATTCAGCACAAGAGGACCTGCTTCTGGTGCTTTGTTGGGTTCTTAGCGCCAGTCCCGCTTATAAAGGACTTTGGCATTCTTCATCAGAAAATCAGAGATTTTTCTGGAACAGACAATATTATTGCATGTTGCTGTCTGCTGTTGTGTAGATAAGGGTGTACGGTATGGCTTCTGAATGTGGCTTTTATGCTGCCTCTTCCATTTCATCTCTGGACTGATTTACACAAACAAAACACTTGAAAAGGATCCTTTCAATATGATTCCTCTGCTTGGAAAGAGAAAAAGAGCTTTATTGTGAGAATTAGAAAAACAATCTAAAATGCTTTGTTTGGAATATGGAATTCCAAAAAGCTTTATTTTTTCCCTTCCTTCAAAATAGCTGCCTCTTCTGTATGTGTAGCTGTAAATCGCTTTCACACCCACCTGCAGTGGAGAATAAACAGTGTGCTCCTCACTAAAAACCCAACTGTGAAAACTATATGTTTGTCTTCAGCTGTTTTGAAGCTACTGTGTGCAGCCTAAAACATAGTCTCAAAGCATTTAATGCACTAAACACTTGAAACAGGTGATCTCTTGGCAGAGCATCCAGAATCTTACAGGCACGATGAAGGTCTGGTAACCTCGCAGACTCTGAATGTTTTCAATTTTGAGTGTAGGAATCATGTTGGAGATGGCTCTGTGTGTACTTATATGCAGTAAAGGACAGTAATGCTTTGGAGTTGATGGAAATTATTAGCTTGGCTTTTTTCCTGCTGGGATCACCACCCAGGAACCATACTAAACCAGCTGCTGTTTTCCAGTCTTAAGAGAAGGGAGGATTTAAGACAAAACCAAAAAAAAAGTGTTAAACTCTTGCAGAGGGCAAGAGTTTCTTGCACCAACAGTTTGGTTGCTGAGAGGAGAGGGATAGAAGAAGCTCACAGCAGTGAATTCTGCGGTGGGACATAACCCCCTCCTCCTTTATCATTATTGTCATCAGGGGAAGTAGAGCAGACCTCATGGAGCTGGTGTCTACTTGGGACTTACATTTCTAACCACGCTCAAGACTGACACTCTTCCCCCAGGCTCTGCAGCTGAAACTGCAAGACAGGCTTTTTAGCAAATTGGTCTTTGTGGTTTAGTTTCTCCATCTATACAACAGGAATTTTTTTTGTCTTGCAGGGATGTTGAAATCTGTTTAAGATTTGTAAGGAAATAGAATTAGTGGAATTGGGAACCGTAGAAGACTGGGAAACAGAATATCTGCCTAGCTGTTAGCTGAGGGATGACATCCTGTTCCCCATTAGTGTGTTGTGATGCATTAAGTATGACATGGGAATTAAGCACCCAGGAATCTCTTCTTTTCTCTCTGGGAAAAGATTAAATGGAGTCACTATGTAGGGCTCAGGCTGGCTCTACTGTTGTTGCATTGAAAGAAGGCACAGCTCCTCTGTTTGGGAGAGATTTTCTTTGGCTGCCAATTATATGGGTAATCTCCTGGATGTTTTTGAATGTGTCAGTGCTCAGCAACCTTCTAGTTTGGCAGAGTCAAAGTTTCAGAATTGCATCATAAATGCAAAGATATATCTGAAATAAACAAAAGGAAAGGGTCATCTGAAGAAAAAACATTTTTTTTAATAATATCGTAGGAAACATGGAAGTAGAGTGACAATTTTAGTACACTTTGGATCAAAGCAAAATACAGAGAAGAACAGAGATGTTGAATCCACATCATCCAACCTATTTTCGGTTCTATCACAAAAAATGAGTTTGTTTTTTTTCTTAATACACACTTTTGATTTTAAAACTTGTCTAAGAGTAGAGAACTAAAGCCTTTTTGGGTTCCATTAACTATCTTTTTTTTTTCTGTGAAGTTAAAAGCTACTTGTATTGCTGTATGATTTACAAGAAATACTTAGACCAGACAGCACACAACAGCTACTTCGGCAAATATCAGTACCTCAGATTTCAGCTTGTTTTAAAAAGGCAGCTATATTTCAAATATGCTTGGTTGCGTGAGCCCGACATGTTCCAAACAACCTTTCCTAGGCAACATGAATAGTTAGATTTCCCAGCAGTGTAACACAAATGGGTCGTTAGCTGCTGTAGAAGTCTGGAGTGTTTTAAGTTAAATCTGGAATTGCTACGCTGTATGGTTCCCATAGGGCTGCGGAGTAATGTGGGTTGACAGACTTACTGCTTCCACTGCTGTGCTCATGTCAGCCTCCAGGAAGAAAGGAGATGCCAAGTCTCAAGGTGCAAACTGTTTTGTAGTGCGTGTTTTGCTATTGTTTCTGGTGCTCGTTCTAAGGATAAGAAAAAGCAAGATGCAGAAATAGCTGGCTTCGTCGTTGCTGTTGCTGCGTTCTGAGTGCGTTTAGGTTAATGGTTTTTTTTCCTTTTTTTTTCCGCATGCTTCAGTGATCTTCAGAGGCTTGGAGAACTGCAGTCAGAACTTGGCTTCGTTGTTGCTGTTGCTGCGTTCTGAGTGCATTTAGGTTAATGGTTTTTTTTTCCTTTTTTTTTCCGCATGCTTCAGTGATCTTCAGAGGCTTGGAGAACTGCAGTCAGAACTGGCAGGGATGGCAGATTTCACTGCAACTTACCTTCAGTGTCAGCTGCTCCTCATCAAGGTTTGACTTCATCTGGGTTTTTTTGGGCTGTTCTTCAAAGATGCCCCCAGTCCATCTTAGCCGTGCACTTTCATGTTTTGGTGAAAGTGCTGAAAAGTGATGTTTGCGCTGATGTATGATGAAAGCGCAGGTTCCATGGATTTCTGATATTACTGCTTCCCTTCTGTGGCAAATAATTTATGCAGTAACTTTGCCAATGAGTACACCAGTGCAGATCTCTGCTGTTGTACCTAGGGCTGATGTTGGTTCATGTGCATTTTGCCAGTGCAGACTTTATTTTCTGACAGAAATCACAATGGAGGCAACTACTCTGTAGCCTTTTATGTTACGAGAGTAACTTTTCTTTGCTAGCGGCCACTGGAATGCTTTTTGCTAAACTGCTGCTATAAGCAGAGTTTTTATAGACAATGTTTTGTAGACAGCTTTTTTGGCACCAGTGCCAAAGGAATTCTTTAGACTTGCTTGAGCAGAATATCAGTCATGCTTTCTTTTACAGTGCTGGAATGACCTATCTGTTTGGTATTAGCAGATGAAGTGGTTACTTCGACACCATGGCACAACCCTTTTAAAAGTCAGCTTCTTGCCATAAATAGGAACTAATTTTTTGCTTCCCTTCTCAAGCTATCAACTGGCAATAGTATTTAGGTTAGTCTCCTGGCGTTCTTTTGGTGTTTGAATGTAATTTATACACATGTAAAGCAAGAACTAAAGTAAGCAACAAACAGGTTTCCAGAAGGGACTCAATAAAAGCTTTGTTATGTAAAACCAAGAAGGGATTTCAGTTTCTTCGCTAAATGCATGGCTGCCAGTTGGCGTATCTCATGGCAGCCCTCAAATCTTTGGAATACATTTATCACCCAAAGAGGGTATTTTAGGTGAGCGGTGTTACAGTTCAGTACATTCCTAGCTAAATCCAAAACTTTTTCCAAAGCAAAATGTGCTATCCAGGCAGAGGACCAGCATTTGGAGGTGGCTTTGTTACCCTTCTCCAGGGTTTGGCTGGAGTGAGCCAGCGTAGGTTAGCTGAGAGAACAATGGCTTGTCTATCTGGCAAAGAGGAGTGCTCTGTTTGGAAGAAGGGGGTAAACGCTGCACCAGCCGTGCTTGGCTGGAGCTGTAGAACAGAGAGTACATCAGTGATGTAGAGGAGTCAGTAATGTGGCTGAAATGAAAAGTAACTCTTAATATCATACAATTAGAAATTCTGATATGGCAGAGAGAACCTCAATGTCAGAGCAGCTCTTTTCAGTAGATTTCTTTCCAATTGCTTCTTTCCCCAACAGAAAGAAGCTGTTGGGGGGAAAAAGTAGCTTCATTTCTCAGCCTCTTGAGGCTCAAAAGTTTCCAGACCTTTAAAGGCTCTACATACCGTGTGATTTTAGGGGTAGTTAGCTGGGATTCTGAGGCCAGCCTCGGTGAAGGATGTAGTCTGTATGTTCTTGAGCTTTGGCTACAGCCAGCTTTGTGTATAGTTGTATCTAAGGACAAGTAGCTTCAAAAAGGAAGCAGTGATATAAATTCTAGTCAAGCTTTCATAATTTTTTTAAACATAAATCGAAAAGCAAATAGGGTGTGGTTGGGTGCTTGGTTTTTTTTTTAATATGATATCGGTAGCTGATTTACACTCAGTATTCTTAGTAACTCCAGGACCTTTGGTGGGGTGTAGACTGTCAACAGGAAAGTTCAGAAATATGACTGTGTAGGTGTATTTCTAGGGACAGTTATTGTTTCCACTTTCTGCCTGCAACCTGAGATTCCCCTGGTCTTGGTCTCAGGGAGGTAATGAAGCAGTGCGCTATTTTTTTTCTAATAAGTGACTTCATTCTGCATAAAGTTCTCCTTAAAAAGTACTGAAGAGTTTGAATTCGAGACTGGCTGAGCCATAGTTTTGTTAATATTATTCTCAATTTCTGTTTTATATTCTATAGTTTTTTAGGTCTCTCTGTGTAGTTATAGAACAGTACATATTTTGGAGGCCTTGGTTCTCTGTGTTGTATTTAAAAGCACAAAAGAAAACTTTGGCCTGCTTTTTCAACCAACCTGCTGGTGTACAGCCAAGAGACAGGGCATCTTCCTGCTCCCAAGTCCATCTAGCACAGCATTATAATGTTTAGACTGAACTGGGTATTTATCATCATTTCATGGTTTTCTTCTGTAGGCCTTGCAGGAGAAGCTGTGGAATGTGGCAGCTCCTCTCTACCTGAAACAGAACGCGTTAGCATCTGCTGCAGCAAAACAGGTGAGGTAGAAGTAGCTGGGTCTGTGTGGAGGCAAGTCCTCGGATACGAGCCCTTCCTTGGCCGTGCAATAATAATATGCTTCTGACCTTCCACTGCTGTAGTCTGTCCAAGTAAATCTTAGTTCCCCAAAGTGGAGTAATTTCTCTCATCTTCAAAAGATGAGTGACGAGTGGTGGAGGTTCATGACAACTGTAAAAACGCAAACATCACACCCGTCTTCCAGAAGAGCAAGAAGGAAGATCCAGAAAACTGTGGGCTGCTTGGCCTCACCTCACTCCTGGGGAAGGTTATGGACCAACTCCTCTTAAAAGCCATTTCTAAACAAGTGAAGGTCAACAAGGTGATTGGGAACAGCCCAAATGCATTTCCCAAGGGCAGACTGGGGGTACTGGTGGATGAAAAGCTGGACATGAGCTGGACATGTGCGCTCGCAGCCCAGAAAGCCAACCGTGTCCTGGGCCGCATCACAAGAAGCGTGGCCAGCAGGCCAAGGGAGGTGATTCTGCCCCTCTGCTCTGCTCTGGTGAGACCCCCCCTGCAGTGCTGCGTCCAGCTCCGGAGCCCTCAGCACAGGAAAGACATGGACCTGTGGCAGCAGGTCCAGAGGAGGCCACAAAAATGATCAGAGGGCTGGAACACCTCTGCTATAAGGAAAGGCTGAGAGAGTTGGGGTTGTTTAGGCTGGAGGAGAGAAGGCTCTGGGAGACCTTATTGTGGCCTTTCAATACTTAAAGGGGGCTTATAAGAAAGATGGGGACAGACTTGTTAGCAGGGCCTGTTGCGACAGGACAAGGGGGAATGGTTTTAAACTAAAAGAGGGGAGATTCAGACTAGATATAAAGAAGAAATTTTTTACGATGAGGGTGGTGAAACACTGGCACAGGTTGCCCAGAGAGGTAGATGCCTCATCCTTGGAAACATTCCAGGTCGGGTTGGACAGGACTCTGAGCAACCTGATCTAGTTGAAGATGTCCCTGTCCACAGCAGGGGGGTTGGACTAGATGGTCTTTAAAGGTCCCTTCCAACCCAAACTATTCTATGAATCTGTGAAATTATGCCTGACCAACATCATTGCTCTCTATGATGAGGGGACTGGTGCTGTGGACAAGGGGAAGTGGATGTCATACCCCTTGACTTTAGTCAAAGCCTTTTACGCAGTCTCCCATCACTTCCTTTTCACCAAACTAGCAGGATTCTGGCTGAGTAAGTGGGTGATAAGGCTCCTCCAAACTGAGGAGCCAGTTGATGTGCTGGAGGGCATGACTGCTGTTCAGGCTGGTCTGGACAGGCTGGGGAAGTGGGATAACAGGAACCTCATAATGCTCAGCATGGGGGAACTTCATGATGTTCAGCATGGGGATCCTGGTGGACAACACGTTGAACACGAGGCAGTAAAGAAGGCCAACTGCATCCTGGGCTAGAGTGCAGCCAGCAGGTCTGGAGAAGTGATCCTTCCCCTCTATTCAGCTCTGGGGAGATCCCATCTGGAGGGCTTTGTTGTGTTTCGGCTTCCCCGGTAGAAAGAAGATGCTGACAAACTGGGGCAAGTTCAGCAGAGGGTCATCAAGGTGGTCAGGGGCTGGAGCACGGATCCAGACTGCTCTGGACAAGACACAATGGACACAAGTTGGAATATGAGAAATTGTGATTAGATACAAGGGGGAAAAAAAAAAAACTCTAAGGGAGATTAAATACTGGAACAGGTTGCCCAGAGAGGTGGGGGGGTTCTCCATCCTTGGAAGTGTTCACAGCTTGATATGGCCCTGAGTAATTGGATCTAATTAGACCTGCTCTGAGCAGGGGACCAGGCTAGATGACCTACAGAGGTCCCACCCAACCTGAGTTTTTCTGATTTGGTGATGTATAAATAATCTGATGCTGGAAAAACTGAAGCTAAGCACTAAGAAAAGGTAAAGGAGAAAGCAAGCTATTAAATCATCTGGAAACGAATCAAGGGTAATAGTAAGTTCATGGATCTGCTGGGAAACTATGCTGACATTTTGAGTCTTTAGTTAATTAAGATGTAATAAGAGGCAGGTACTGCTGTGCATCAAAACCTTCTATGCTGTTGACAGCTGTCCCCAGGGATAGTGGAAACAAAAGCCTATCAGCTTTTAAAATCTTCTCTAATTGAACTGTCTGTCTTGGGTGCCCTTCTCAGTAGCATGTGAACCCCCTGGGAAGTTTTATCTGTTCTGATTGTGAATGTAGAATACTTCCCATCAACGCAAAGTGAGGGAGTATTTCCTATTAAGTAACTTCCAAGTTCTTGGTTTGTGTACAGTCATACTGAACTCAACTGTGTTAATTTGAGTACTTGTCTACTTAAGCCCATCTATTCGACAGATAAAGTACGATGAGTAAAACTGTGCAATGTGCTGTCTAAGCTTTTAACCATGTATCTAAAATAACCCAGAAAGATACTTATCTTGTCATAGCTCCTATCTTTTGCTGCAGTACGTGAAGCATTGTTGAATGTAAAGTTGTTTCCAAGAGAACTTTGGCAAATATAGCTCCAAAAATGTAAACCTGAGCAGGACCGCTGAGGTTGCTCTGTTGTGCTGCTCACGTTTTTGTATTCCAGAGTAGCCAGTGGGAGTCGGTGCGTGCTCTACCCCTTGAAATCTAAAATGCAATGTCAAAATGCAATGTCTAAAATGCAATGTCAAAAGATAGACCGCCGATGGAGGGAGTGCTTGATTTCAGGCCAAGTTTCATGAATTGTTTCTTTAATAGAGCCAAGATAACCTTTTAGTATTAGGAACCACTTTACGCTGTGAAGAATTTCACCAGAAGAATGAGACTTGTGGATTAACGAGTTCCTCAGCATGAGGAGAAATACCAGAATCTTGTGATCATGCTTGTACAAGAGTTTAACAGAGGCTGATGGTTTGTTACCCCTGTGGTGTCTGTCTGACAGATCTTGGAAGAAACTTATAAAATGGAGTTCATGTACAGTGGTGTGGAAAGTAGACAAGTGGTCATTATTCATCACATGAGACTGCAAGCGAAGGCGTTACAGCTTATAGTGACTGCGCGTACCACTAGAGGGTAAGGATGACCCTTCTTAGGGTTAACTGTAAGCTTAGTTTCCTCAAGCTTTGTTTAAAAAACCAGCAAGGATGAATTAGACACACAAAACATCACGACATGCCAATAACCATTTGCTAAACTACTTCAGCATGAAGAGCCGCCTTTTGCCTTTGGTGTAGCTGTAGTGTGGCACAATACTAAATTAGATGACAAAATTATTAGGAAGACATGTTTAGGGGGTTGAGTTCTCTCAGCTGTGAACATATAAATAGGTTAAAAACATAGTAGAGTGTGTCTTAGAGTTGATATTTGGGACCCATTTAAATGAGGGAAAGTCATGTATCAAAGAATGCATAATTGTGTTTGCTTCATTAAGTATTAGTTGCCGAGTTTTTAGCATCAGAAAAAAATTGTCTTTTTGACTGATCTGCAACTAATGTTTGTGTGACTCGGACACAAAATACTCGTGTATGTGTGGCTTAGGTAACACGAGAGGCTCTGTGTGGTTCGTTTTGGCTGTTGAGGTCAATGAAGTTACACATAGGGTTTGGGTGGCTGTAGAATTAGAACTTCATTTGGTGGAGTTAGAGCAAGGTGGTTAGTATCCTAATTTGTTTACTTTTGTTTCGAGTTTGTTGCCATCAATTTACTGTGTTGCCATAGAGGTCCATATTATATTTGCCTCTTAACCTCTTGTTTTGTAGGTGGACAGTTAAATATTTTTCTAGCAGTGGCTTTGGGACCTTAATTAGTGCCTTATGCAAATGATTTTTTTGTGGGAGGGGGTATGGATGTGGGGAGGAAGATGGCAACTAATTTTTTTTTTTTCTCTTGTGGGGAACACCGTTCTGGCCTTAACAGTGTAGGATCTTTTAGTTTTTAGGAGCTTGAACCGGATTCCAAAACACCTAAATGTTTGTAACCATAGAGCCAATTTTCTTTATTCAAAACTAAACCAAGGAATGTTATCTTCTTTACAGAGTAGAACCCCTTTTTGGGATGTGTGAAAAATTCCTACAGGAAGTGGATTCCTTTCAGAGGTGAGAAACTCTGTTGCTTCTTCACTTTATGTTAGAAAGTCCCGTCATTGGGACCAGGGAATATTGTCATCAGGGAATATTCCGTGTGTTTTTCATCTCTTCGCATCTCCCCCTGTTACTGTCCTACATCGGGGACTGCTATCACGAGATAATGATAAAGCAAGAAGTAAACTCCCTTCTAAATGTGGGATCAGTGGAAGAGCTTTCCTGGGAGTATGACAAAAAAGGGAATTTCCCTTTTCTTTATCACAAATTTCTGAACTGTAAATGAGAGAGTGAGTGAACTGTCTACATGCTCAAGTGGGAGTCATCTCGCCCAGGTGTTGACCTTTGCTTTGTAGACCACTGCTTACGAAGCACTCGCCCGGCTCAATGGAGAGGTGCTTCTTTCATCTTATCCTAATACAGATGTCTAAAATACGTCAGATTAGTGATGCCCAGGTTTTTTCTGCCGACTCAGAAGCGAATTGAATAGCTAGCCCAGAGACATAGGTATCCAGAGCTGGCTGAGCAGAATTCCGTCTCTAGTTCTGATTAAATTCCCATTTATTTGTGATCCATATGCTTGGCAGTTGTGGCTGGTTAAGTGGTGAGAAAAGGGAGCCAAATCTACCCATTCCCTAATGTTTAGCTTATTTGGTAGCTAATGACTAGAACTGTTCATTTGCTTTGTATCTGTTCTTTGCACTGAATCTCAGGATCAGCAAAACTCATCACTTTTTCTCAGGAATGTAACTCCTGCAGGCAGTGATGAGTTCCACAAAAGGGAATATGGATGTAGTGGTTTAACCCGGCAGGCAGCTAAACATCACACAGCCGCTCGCTCGCTCCCCCGCCAGTGGGAGGGGGGAGAGAATTGGAAGAGTAAAAAGGAGAACACTTCTGGGCTGAGATAAGAACAGTTTGCTAATTGAAATAAAATGTAATAATAATAATTAATTAATGAAAAGGACGATAACAAAAAGAGAGAGAAATAAAACCCAAGAAAGACAAGTGATGCAAATGGAAAACAATTGCTCACCACCAACCAACTGATGCCCAGCCAGTCCCCAGGCAGCGGGTCCCCCGGCCCGCTTTTCCCTAATTCATTTACAGAGCATGATGTCATATGGTATGGAATATCCCATTGGCCAGTTTGGGTCAGCTACGCTGGCTGTGCCCTGTCCCAGCTTCTTGTGTATCTCCAGCCTTCTCAGTTGGTAGAGCATGAGAAGCTGAAAAGGCCTTGATTCTGTGTAAGTGCTTCTCAGCCGTAACAAAAACATCGCTATATTATCAACACTGTTTTCAGCACAAATCCAAAATACAGCCCTGTACTAGCTACAACAAACAAAATTAACTCTATCCCAGCCAAAACCAGCACACAGGATGATGGTAGATCTCGTCAGTTAGCTGTAAGGTCACCTATAAATGCTCGGACATGTAAAATCCCCATGTCTAGGTTGTGCAGCTTCAGTGTGCCAGATTTTAGCTGCATCCCAGGACAGAGTAGTTGAAATTTGCTGTCTGTGTAGTAGCAGTCATAGGAACACAAGGATGTGTATTCCTGCGCAGCCCTCCTACCATGTGCAGGGGAGAGAGTGATTTTTCTCCACCCTTGCCAAGCTGGTGGTAGAGGCTTCCGTTTATGGATTATGAGTTCTTGTAGAACACCACCAGGATCCTGAAAAAAAAAATCTCACTTCTAGGGCTTTAGGACCTGAAGCTGTTTTGGGCATGTCTGGTATTCCTATCTAGGCTTTATAGACTCAACTGTAGGTGAAGACACAGCCCAACACCGGACTTGACAAGCGGGGAGGAGAGCCTGTTGTTCAAGAGGCTGTTCACCTACAGAAATGGTGCATTTTTTTCACCAAATTGCATGAATATTTACTAGGCTTACGAGTATTTACGAGGCTTACAAAACTGCTAAACACAGCAGGAGTGCTGCTGATAATAACAGAGAAGCCATCAATGACTCAGTCTAACGAAGCATCTTCTGCCTGCAAGGATGTAGGGTAGTAGCCCAATTCTACTTCTCTGTAAAGAACAAGAAATACCAAATGCTCTGCTTGTGAGAGGCTGTTGTCCCAAGCTATAGAATGGATTCTGTTCTCTGTTCTTGACCTCTAGAACTAGCCTTTTTTTTTTTTCCCCTGCTAGTGATTGTAGTTTACTATTAAAATTTCACTCCTCAGATGTAATAAATAATACTCTTATAAATATTGGTAGAGAAAAACCATTCTGGACACTTTGCTGCAGCAAACTCACATATTGGGTGTGTGGGTATGTTAGAACCTGTAATGAGTCAGCTATTTAGTTAGCCAGATGAAAGTGCACAGCATAAAGAATTAGACATATGTATGTCTTCCCTGAGAAGTACCAATTTCAAAAGTTTGCAAGGCAACTGTGGTAGGAATGACTCTTTCGTCCAGCTCTGTTTCTTTGTTGAGACATCGAGACGGAATGCAGAGTAGTGGAATTGCCCGTAGTCTCATTTATTTAGCACTTTTGCTATCTGCATAGCATTATAGCTGCGCATGCAGTCTAAGCGGACAAATCCCTACAGTATCTGGCTCTCATTAATGTGGTGTTGGTGAGCACCTCAGCATTTCTAGATCCTTTTTTGTGAATCCAAATTCCTTTGCCTGCTAGGCTATGTATTTATGAAGGACCTAAGAAGCGATTCCTGCATAGCCCTTGATGTTGTCAGTTTGAGCACGAGGTGTGGTCCCAACATAACTAGCCAAAATCATCTTATCTTATGTATGAGACGTGCATCAGACCAGGAATCTACATATCTAATTCTGTCATAATAACTAAATATAAGGATTAAGTAGCCTCGCTGAAAATAACAATACTGTTGAAAAAAGTATTTGATTTTTAATTTATTCTTAACACAGATGTTTCATCTCTGAGCTCCCACATATGCAAGGCAGTTTTGTAGATAAATTGCTGGACTTAATGCCCAGACTCGTGACATCCAAGCCTTCGGAAGTGGTCAAAATTCTTCAGACAACGCTGCGACAAAGTACCTTCCTCCACCTTCCTCTTCCAGAGCAGGTCAGTTTAACACAGAGAATTAAAATGCAATATTCTTGCAGACTGTCTCAGCATTTGACTAGTTCCTAATATACCATGAAGCTTTTAGGATTCAGGTTTTTTGGTCAGTCCCGAGTGTTATTTCTTCAAAGGCTTTCTTCTTCTTACCTAGCATCCTCAGGACTACTGCTAAAAATACAGAAGACTTAGTAATTCCTGGCAGTATCTGAAAGGATCCACAGTTCATGCACAATTTCTCCGTTAAGAACAGTAATGATTGTCTTTTTTTCTTTCCTCTCCCTGCCTTATTTTTGCCAATTGCTTTGCCCTTAATAGCTCCATAGAGCTACTGCAAATATCATTGAGCCTACTGGTGAATCTGATAATCCTCTGAGGTTTACATCGGGGTTGGTAGTGGCACTGGATGTTGATGCAACTCTGGAACACGTGCAGGATCCCCAAGGAACCGTTAAAGTTCAGGTAAGCAGTCGCTTGATATAAATACAAACAAGATTGCGTCTTAGGGGGAGTTTGTTTAAGAATGTCAATACTTCTAAATTGCAAATAATTATACACTTTATTAGTAACAGTGTTGGATTGCTGTGTTTTGACCACACATTCAGAAACTGGTTTGTATATAGTGCGCTGAGTTGACTTGCGTACAGTTCCTGAGAGTTTGCATTGAGCACTTTGATGCCATTCCGTGTTCCACTCACACTATCCTCTGCTTTCACACGCTCTGGGCACGTTACGGACATGAGCACAAATAAATGCTGGTGAACTTCCAGCTTGTGTAGTGGGAGAAGGAGGAGCAAAAGAAGCTGTTCTATACAGAAATATGCTGTATTTACAACTTAACTTTCTTCCTGCTGCTGAATCACTAGTTTCAGATGCAGCCAAAGAGGTAGGTGTGGTATCTTGCCAAGTAAAATATGCAAGTTCACTGTATAATAACAAAAACCTCTGTTCAAAATGCAGAGGAAGAAGCTGATGTCAGTGTATTTTTTTTTTTCCACCTGTGCTGTGGGTCTGAATGGCCAGTGTGTGGCCATTAAATCTAGGGCAACTAGTCTCCTGGCTCCAAGATAAAGCATGCCTTCTTGCCTTCGGAACTCAAACAGAAAACACCAAAATAACGCACACTGTGCAAATCCTCAGTCCAGTTGTCATTCAGTTGTTTCCTTTTTTTTCCCCCCCCTCCTATAGGTATTATATCCAGATGGACAAGCACAGATAATCCATCCTAAACCAGCTGACTTTCGCAATCCTGGTCCTGGAAGGCACAGGCTGATAACTCAGGTTTACCTGTCACACACAGCCTGGACAGGTAACATTAATGATACAAGTTCATGTGATTGTGTTGCTGCACTTTTCTAAGATAAGTGTGTGTCCTGCTTGATCCCAGTCTCCTGCACTTAAGGCGTACATCCCCACTGTCTTGGGGGCTTTGAGGATCCTTGAGTCTACAGCTGTTGTTGATGCTACCCTTAGTGTTGCTCAGATTTCTGTTCTTGCAGCCTTTGAGCAGGTACGTCTCCCTGGTTGACAGGGCACTACTGCTCCGTAGGTGACTAGAGGGGCTGCTGTCATTGGAGAGAAGGGGCTTGCTACACGCTGGGGGCTTGTGGTGGGTTGACCCTGGCTGGACGCTGGGTGCCCACCAAAACCGCTCTATCACTCACCTCCTCAGCTGGAGAGGGGAGAGAAAATACAATGAAAGGCTTGTGGGTCAAGATAAGGACAGGGAGAGTTTGCCCGTCACGGGCAAAACAGACTCGACTTGGGGAAATCAGTTTAATTTATTACCAATCAAATCAGAGCAGGATAATGAAAAACAAAACCAAATCTCAGAAACATCTTCCCTCCACCCCTCCCTTCTTCCCAGGCTCAACTTCACTCCCGATTTCTCTACCTCCTCCCCGTGAGCAGCACAGGGGAACGGCGAATGGGGGTTGCGGTCAGTTCATCACAC